GGGGGGGGGGGGGGGGGGGGGCGCGGGTGAAAGAGAGCGACCGTTTCCCGCTCCTCCCTTTCCACACACGTGTTAGTGTAGAGACAGGGAGAGCGCGCGAGTTAGAACCTCCCTTCCGAAAAGGAGGCCGCCTCGGCGCTCTGACATTTGCAGCCTGTAAACAACTCTCCTGCCAAGGAGAGTGCCCCTAAAAAAACCCGGGCGTCAACACATTCAGCTCTCAGAAACCGAGATTCGGTCCCAAGGGGAAATCACGAGGCGGTGCATGCGTGCCACCTTACTTGGATTTTCGCTCTGCTAAAGAAAGGGCAGGAGTAGGCGGCGAAGATGCTTCCAAACCAGGCTTTTCCGGTGCGGTTCTTCTGCTCCATTCGTCGAATTCATTCATTTGCAACTTGCCTGTGTTTTCCCTCCACTCTTGCATTTTCTTTCCAGGAAAAACGAATAAGGAGGGAAAGTTGGAGCAGCTGAACTTCGCCTTTCCACTGGTAGTGCTAGGAGCTGTCTCTTTAGGACTGCCCAAATCCACCCCCACTGGCCCAAGTTACTACTTAGGGGCCTCTGGTTGGGTCGCTATTTGCAAGACTAGAACTCTGCATTCCCCACCTACTGTCCAAACTGAGTACTGTAACTCCGTTCGGAGGCAGCTTTATGTCCCTTAACAGACCAGGAGCTGCAAACAGGTTAGGGCAGGAAAGGAATTGGGTGCTGTGTCCCTTTTCAGAGCCCAGCATAGTAACGAAGCGGGGGGCATAACCCCTCTTTCTCATGCTTAGATTAATAATGCAGCTCTCTGCCCCTCTAACGAAAATTTGCAAGTTGCTGTTTTTTGTGGGCTTCTTAGGAAGCTAACTTAGCTGTGGTAGTATTTTCTGAAAAATCTTTTATGGTATGTTGTCCTACACTTTAGATTAGAATTCCATTTGGAATCCTTGCATTTATAAAGCAGCATAAACATCTTCCAAATATTTTGAACGCTGTTCCCTTTTGCCCTAAAGAAAACAGAGTCAGGAATAAATACTGTATCCCTAGATGCTGTGGTTATTATAATGTGATGCACGTAACTGACCCTAACCGCTTTTAGTTAATGTAGCATGCCTCTAAATATCAGATGCTGGTAAAAAATGGGGAGGTAGAATGAACTGTTGCCTGCATATCATCTTTTTAAATTGGCCAAAGGCATTTGTGTGACCAGCGTTGAAACTGAATGTAGCGCCACAAACAATTCATATTTGGCTTAAGGCAATGTGTTAACCCGGATCCTGGGAAGGATCCCACTATCTTTGTGCATCTGGTTTATAATCAGCATTACTATCTTATTCAGACCATTTGCATTTTAATGCATACAAAGAAAAAATTGAAAATGTTTTCTCTCTTTGTTTAATAGTTTTCTGGAACCAGATATACCAAAAAAAAATAAATAAATCCCAAATTAAAAGATGAAACAGTATTCTTCAGAAAAATGAAAATGTAAAAACAAGTAAACAAGTAATGCCATGGGATATTTTGGGCAGTCTTTAAAAGGCCAATTCCTTTTGGAGGAAAAAGCCCCAGAGTTGAGATGTCTTTAACAATCTGTATTTGGGGTTTTAAAATAATTGTACAGGTTGAGCTGCTATTCTGGGAATAGCAGTTTGAAGCAAGCATACATAACTGCAGTCACAAAGGTACTGACTTGAGGTCATGAGTCCATAAACCAACACAAGATCTTTTCATAAGAAAATTCAAAGAACTTTTTTGTCAGCCCTAAGCAACACAAATCAGACCAGATAAATGTTTTCAAGCTTGACCTTTTGAAGGGACCTTATTTATTTAAATAGGGGTAAATAGCTGAACATCTAAAATATAATATTTATATTTGCATCCTGTGTTTTCTTCTAAGGGGCGGGCATGTTCAATATCAGCCCACTTTTAATCTGGTTGCAACAGCTGAATAACAAACCTAGCTAGGAAGGCATGATTAGCCCAGGCTCACCAGGCACCCAGTCTGTATCTAGGCTGAAGTGTGGTTACTCAGAGACAACCAGGCATAATTTACTTCTGGGATGCTTTAAAAAAAAAAGTGTTAAACCTAGAGTCTTCCTAAATAGTCCTACTCTGGACAACTACACTAACAGAAAAGGAAGAGATTATTTTTGCCTGTTCTTTCTAAAACTTCAGTGTTCCCAGAGAGTTCCCCAGCACCAGTGTGTGTGTGTGTGTGGGGGGGCTTATGGAGTTGGAGTGGGGAAGGGGGGATTTAAAAGAGTTTGCCAGTGGAAGAGCCCAGAGTAAAAGTCTCTTACAAATGGAAGATGCTCTTTGGACTTGAACTGGTTTAGTAGTCCTCCATCAGTCTAGCTACTCTATGCATCCGATGAAATGAGCTGCAGCTCTCAAAAGCTTATGCTTTTTAATAAAATGTGCTAATTGGAGAAGGTATTACCAGATTCCTGTTTTTTTGCCATCATAGAAACACTATGATGTCTGGCTGGATTGTATCCAGAGTACGGTTTACAAGCAACAACATTGTGTAGGATGATGATAATAAAGACCTGCTGTGTTCCCAGGCCTGAGGTTAGGGTGTCTGTGGAGCCCCTCTTAAGTCTTTTCTGAATGTGGGGAATGCTGTTTTAGTCTAGGCAGCCATGTTGTTTAGTTGTGTTTTTAATGTATGTATTGCACACATATTGAAAGCTGCCCAGAGTCTTTCTGGAATTGGGTGGCTTTAACAAATCTTATAAATAAACAAAATTATGAGAATTTCCCACCCTTTCTACTCATAATCACTCTGTTTGTACTCCTTCCTTATCTCTGTAGGAAGAACGTTCTCCCTAGCCAGTAATCACGAATATGGTTTACATTAGAACAAAATTGAAAGCCTGCAAAATAGAAAGCTCCACCCTGTCAGAATGTAATTATGCAACAAGACCATAATTCCTGTTCAAACAGTTATATTTTTATCCCCTTTTCTGTAACATATTCAGCAGCCTAGGAACATCATGCCAACAAAGGTAAGGTCAATTCTTGAATGAACACATCTCAAGTTAGTGGATTTCAGATGCAATAGACAAAAATCTGTGTATACGTGGTATGATTCTGTGCGTGCGTGTGTAAAATGCATAAAATAAGAAAAATATGCAAGTGTCAAATCCCATTCAAATTTAACAGACATTCTACTTTAATAGAAATTCCTACCCAACCCTCGTTACTGTGTGAAATTGAGGGTTTACTGTATCTCAAAAAGGCAGTTGCTCTGTTCCATGCTTTCACAATTGCCTTTGGAATCTCTAATCCGGGTTTTTCAAGAACATGATAAGAGTTCTGTGAGAGATTAAGGGCAAAACAAAAAGTTCATTAGAAAATTCACTAAGTGCAGCCAGGACACTCATATCAGTTTTTCAGAGGTACAGTGGAAAGGGTAAAAATGAAAATACCTCAGCGTAAAAATGCCATGGCCACCAGTATACACATGCCCGCTCTGCCTTCAAAGCAAAGTCGCCCTGCCCCAGCACTGTTTCCCTCCCCTGAATGAAAGATTTGCGTTTTTGGGTGAACAGGACAGGAATGTCCCTCCAGATTCCTAATCATCCCTTTTGTTATGGGTAGGTAGCAATTAGCCAATTTTATATTGTGAGAGCTTTGCCTCTTTACCAGGTTTTTTTTTTAAACAAAACAGGTTCCGCAGCCTGAAAAAGTTTGAAAAGCCCTGCTCTAGTCAGTGTAAAGGTGAAAGCTGCAGTTTTAGCATACAGCACGATGTAAGTTTAAAAAATTCAGAATAAGAAAATTGAGTCCTTCTTCAGTGGATTTTGTATCTGAGAAGATACAATAGATGTTTCTACACATAGAATATCTATAAATACCTTTTAAGCAATCACATTAGGTATATGATATTTTGTCAAATATACCTCTTCATCCTCAACAGAGAAAATGAATGAGTACATATATATGCTGCAGGAGGAGGGTTGTGTTTTATATTACATGCTGACACATTTATTTATGAGGCATCAAAGTCCTATGACATTCTGTCAGATAAGAAAAGTAGATCCCTCAGTTGTCTTTTGGGACCAATTTCAACACTTTGTTTTGGATGCTGAAGTAGTAAATGCAGTTGACATTATTTTGGCTTCTTTACCAATAAGAATGGATACTTTTCCATTCATATTGTCTGAAAATTTGCACAGGATTTTTAGTTGCTTGACTCCTGCCCTTGCTTGTTTATAAAACTGGTTGGGAGTGAGAGGAGATGGAAAAAGATAATGATGAGCCTCTATTGACAGAAAGAAATGATTCTGTCATGTGTAAAAGAAGAGGTGATGTGAACTTTTTCCAGAATTACTTTCTTGGACAAGCTGCTTATATTTTGATGGTGCCTCAGTTCCACCAATTTCTGAGTAAGGTTGGAAGTGGGAGT